GGTATATGTGTGAGTGGTGTGTGGTGTATGTATGTGTGCATGTGAGTGGTGTGTGGGTATGTATGTGTGAGGGTGTGTCAGTCTGTGGTGTAGTGTATGTGGTTTTGGCAAGTTAGGGGAGAAGGGCTCGAGTACGTGTGTAACCCGGGGAAGCAGGTGATGGAGGGTGAGTGTTGTGGGAGAGCAGGGTCAGGCTGCTTCGGTCCTTGGAAGAGATCTTGGTGATGTCCCCTCCCCCTAGAGGCATCCCAGACAGCAAGGACAGAGTGGCTGCAGTGTGGATAGGAAGGACGATGACGGAGCTTAAGCTGGCTGGCTTCCATGTCCTCAGCCATGTGGGAGGTGAGGTCATGGTGCCAGCAAGCGGGTGAAGCAGGTCGTGGCTAAGGAGATGGAGAGGTCTAGAACAGCTGTTGTGGGAGGTCGTGCGGGTGCTGCAGTGTTGTGAGCTCATTCTGCAGTGTTCAGCGACCTCTCCACTGCTTTTTGCAGCTTGGAAGCAGAAACGGGAAGCGGGCGGTGGTGTGACTTGGGGTTGGAGACTGGGCCGGATAGCTGCGGGTGGTTGCAGGTGCGCGGAGGGACAGTGAACCTTGTAGGAGTACATGGTCAGGGGACCAGGCTGGGGCATGGTGGACAAAGTCCAGGGGTGGGTTGCGGGTGGGGGAACTAAGGCTTTTCTGGGTTCGCGTAGTAGGTGTGGACGGGGAAGAGGAGAGGCAGATCATGACTGGCAGGGGACTTGGAGGTAAATCTGAGGTCAAGGATGTCCCATGATGGACGATGACTGAGTTGGAGGGAAGTTTGTTTGAAGCGGTGGCATTGGTGTAGGCTGGCAGAGGGGACAGTTCTGGATAGAGGGTCCTGATGAATGGGGATACCCATGGGAGGTGATGCACATGAGGATTCTGTGCTTCTGAAGGAGGAGCCGGGCATTTAGAATGGCACTGGAGAGCAAGGACTGACTGAGGCCCTTCACTGTGTCCCCAAGATGCCAGGAAGGGAAGATTGGCGGAGACAAAGTTGGAGTGAGTGTTCCAGGGAACAAGTCAGTTAAGAGATGGCAGGATCGTAAGGGAAAATGGCTAAGATCTGGGGAGTTGGACTTCTATGGACGCACGCTTCACTGGGCAGAAAGGATGCAACTCTGGATACAGATGGGGGTCAGGGTGAGGGGCAGTGAAGCCAGGGCTGAGGGGAGAGGGGCTATGGGAGGAGGTAGCAGGGGAGCTTTGGAGGTTCCAGGTGTTACGGGAGTGAAGGCATCCGCACGTAGCACACTTGGTGATGGGGACACGGTCCTGGGTAGGCTTTTCCAAACATAGAGAAGACCTACCCAGTGCACTTGCTCCTGTGGGCGTGTCTCCTGGCAGTCCTGGTGCAGGTCAGACAGACCCTCCTGGAGTTCTCAGGGTTACCTCTCAGGGTTACTGGCAGCGCTGTCCTTCATCCACTCCCCACCCCAGTCCCCAGGATCCCCTAAATGGAAAGGTTGGACTGGCCTAGGGGACGGCCTTTGGACCTTCTCTGAGGCTACTGGGGAGGGACCTGAGTAAGGTAGCCCAGAAGTCCCTCGCTCGAGGGACAGGGTCTCTGTGTGGGGGTGGGGCTGGGTTCTTGCAGACAGCTCAGTGGGTTTAACCTGCAATTCCTGCCTGTGTTGTATCCCCACGCTGACAGGGGCTGCTCAGCAGCAGGCAGGCCGGGTAGGTGTGTGTGCGCGTGTGTGCACGCTGTTGCGTGCCCCTGTCCCATGGGGGTGATGTCCGAGCATGCTCTGTGGAGTTGATGCGTGGCCCTGGAGTGTCTGGTGCTTCAGTGACCCGAGCTGCTGTGTGCGTGGCCTCCGTCTGCTCAGTCATTCTGGCCTGTCTGTGACTGCTCAGGGGGTTTGGGCAAAGCGGGCGGAAATGTCTTGCTGTACGAGATCCAGGCTTAGGTCCTCTTCCCCTGTTATTTGTGTGGTGCTGGGGATGGCAGGGGTAGGGGGACAAGGGAGAAGCTTTAAGGGTCAAGCCTGAGCATCTGGGACATGAGCTGGGAGCTAAGTCGTCATCGGAAGAAGCCGGGTAGGCTGGCCTGGGGGGGTGGAGGCAGCAACCCTCGAGAGTGTGAAGAAAGTGTTGGGATTGCAGGTGCGCTCCCCTGGGGCCCCAGGGCCCCTGACTCTGAAGGAGGTGGAGGAGTTGGAGCAGCTGACCCAGCAGCTAATGCAGGACATGGAGCATCCTCAGAGGCAGAACGTGGCCGTCAACGGTGAGCCCACCCCACCGGGACAGCCCCACCCTGCCCCCTATCCGAGCGGGCTGATACCTCACAGCCCTACATACTTCCTTCTATTTACTTCTGTCTTCTCCGGCTTTCCCAGAACTCTGCGGTCGATGCCATCAACCCCTGGCCCGGGCGCAGCCAGCCGTCCGCGCTCTGGGGCAGCTGTTCCACATCGCCTGCTTCACCTGCCACCAGTGCGCACAGCAGCTCCAGGGCCAGCAGTTCTACAGCCTGGAGGGGGCGCCGTACTGTGAGGGCTGCTACACTGTGAGTTGGGCTGTGCTGGGCAGTCAGGCCCTGGAAGCTGGCTGTGGGGTGTTGGTTCCCTGCCAACCTCCTCCTGCTGCCTCCTCAGGACACCCTGGAGAAGTGCAACACCTGCGGGGAGCCCATCACTGACCGCATGCTGAGGGCCACGGGCAAGGCCTATCACCCGCACTGCTTCACCTGTGTGGTCTGTGCCCGCCCCCTGGAGGGCACCTCCTTCATTGTGGACCAGGCCAACCGGCCCCACTGTGTCCCCGACTACCACAAGTGAGGACCTGCCATCTGCCTTCTGGGCTCCTGCTGCGCTTGGTCTGGTAGTCACCCTAGCCTCAGGACAGCCCCAAACCCTTGGTGTTGCTTTCTGGTCCCATGTCCTGTGTGTAGACAGCAGGGACCAAGTCATCTGGATGTAGCTGTCCAGGGGCCTTAGGCCTGGACATGGAGTCCTGCTGCTGGCTGGTCCCTCCCTCGCCCTTGATCACTGAAGCTTATTGTGTGTCTATGTCAGCATTTCGTGAAGTGTGCTGGAGTGACTTCATGTCACACAGGCTGGGTTCTAAAAGTTCTTCTGGAGATCAGCTGTTTGGAAATCTGGTTTCTCCCCAGAAACAGTGTTTAGAAGGTGACTCCTTTTCCAGGCTGACCCACAGAACCTCAGTGCAGCTGTGGGAACAGTGCAGAATCTGACCCCCACCTCCGACGGGGTGTTTGGGCAGACACTTTTAGGATTCCACCTGGGGTGGCCACCACTTCACATCCCTCCACAGTGCCAGGCAGTCAGGGCAGAGGCAACGTGCGTTGGGGTGGGAGGATTGGGGGAAGGTGAGGGTCAGGGAACCAGGATCGGATGTGGGGGGTACCTCAGGGCTGGCTTTCTGCAGGAGCTGCAGTGTGAATGGGACAGTAAGGATCTAGTGGGAGAGAACACCGTGGCAGGTGTGTGGGGGGCTACCTTGCTTTGGGAGAGTGACTGGTGAGGCAGGAAATTCCTTTTGATGAGGGCCAGTCATGGTGGCTCAGTCTTAGGCCCTTCTGGTGAGCTTCCTCCACCTAGACATGCAGGGCAGAGAAGTCTGCCTCCTGACTGCACAGCCTGGCTTCTGTGTGTGCACACAGGGGATGAAAGCCCTGGCTAACTGCTGGCCCTTTCTGCCCCTTCAGGCAATACGCCCCGAGGTGCTCCGTCTGCTCTGAGCCCATCATGCCTGAGCCTGGCCGAGATGAGACCGTGCGAGTGGTTGCCCTGGACAAGAACTTCCACATGAAGTGTTACAAGTGTGAGGTCAGCCATCCCTCTGGGCTCCTTGGGCTGGTTCCGACCAGGAGGTGGCGGGAGATGCTGCTTACCAGCTGGGTGGTGGAAAGCGCCAGCATTCAGGAAACAGGGCTGTGATTTTGAGGGTGGCTCATGGTGGCAGCCCATCTGCCCTGCCTGAATGCTTCCTGCCGCTGCAGGAAACAGGGCTGTGGGACTTCTGAGGTCACTTTGAGTCATGGATAAGCCAAGAAACAGGACAAGCCAATAGGAGGGAAGGGCATGGTGTTTTACTGTGGTAGGGGATGGGGAGACAGGAGCTGAGAGAAGAAGTCTTCTAATAGAGGTGAGCCAGGATGGAAGAGGCCCCCAAACCTCTCTTTTATTAGGGCGGTGGTGGGCAGGGGAGCAAACACCTTGGAAGCAGTTCTACCCACTGCTTGCCCTCCTGCAGGAAGGTCCTAGTGGGTGACTGGAAGTAGGATAGGGATGGGGAGTTGAGTGTGGCTGGAAAATGCGATGACACCAGCTGTGAGCCACGAAGCATCTTTCTAATTCCACAATGGAGCTGCACGGGGTGGGGTAGGGTGGAGCAGAGCAGGGGCCTTCTGGTCCAGTGCCCCTCACCCTTCCTTCTTCCCAGGACTGCGGGAAGCCCCTGTCGATTGAGGCAGATGACAATGGCTGCTTCCCCCTGGACGGTCACGTGCTCTGTCGGAAGTGCCACACTGCTAGAGCGCAGAGCTGAGTGAGGACAGGCCCTCTTCAAACCGCAGTACATGCCCCATCGTGGACCACCCACACTGAGACCACCTGCCCTCACCTCAGTTATTGTTTTGATGTTTAGCCCCTCCCATTCCTGACCCCAGTCTAGCATCCCAGGTGCCCTGACCCAGGGCCCAAGATGGCCTAGGGATGCAGGATCCCCACCCTGGGGTCTAGTCCTCGCCCATCCTGCAGGGATTGCCCACCGTCCTCCAGACACCCCACCTGAGCGGGGCACCAGGTTTAGTGCTGCTGCTTTCACTGCTGCACCCATGCTCTCGGCCAGCCCCCGGAGCAGCCTTTGTACTCTGCTTGCGGAGGCTTGGGAGATGCCCTGACCCTCCAGGACATTCCCACCCTCCCCCGTGCTGCCAGGTTGTAGCTATAGCTACAAATAAATAAATAAAAAACTTTGTTTTCCAGAATTCTCAGTAGTCAGCTCTTTTGTAGTGCCTACAGCCCTCGTGGGTGGGATGGAGGCAGAAAATCAGTTCCTGTTTATTTACAAAAATATATATGTGTATGTATGTATATATATTAACCCCTCACCTCCCTCCCATGATCATCCTTTTACTTCTACCCCCACCTCCCTTTTAAAACAAAGAGGTTTTCTGGGGTGCAGAGCAGGGTTCTCCTGAGAGTGGGCAGGAGCAGCACCGAGAGCCCAGTCTGGCAGGTTGTGGGAAGGGGCGCAGGGAGTGACCATGAGCGACCTTGGCCCCGTCCTTGCTCCTTGCTCCCTGATTGGGTGTGGGGTGAGAGGAGGGCTCAGTCCTTGAATCCCTGAATACTGCAAAGAATGCGCTTCTGGTGCCCGGGCAGTGTGATTCCCATCTGCGTCAGGTCCCTGTGGGCAAGGAAGGGTGGGGGCATGAGTACAGAGGCTCCACCCCCACAGCCCTCCCCTGCCCAGACAGCCCAGCTCCTTACTCAGCGGTCAGCTCCAGCACACACTCCATGGTGTCCAGCCCAGCCGAGTGGAAGTGCAGGATGTAGCGTTTCATGCGTATGGACTCGAGCCACTCAGAGACGCTTCGATACGGGATCCCATCTGAGCCGCTCAGGCTGGGCAGGCGAAGAGTCACCCTGTGGGATATGGGCTCGTCGGTGACACGGGAGTACTGGGGCTGATCTGGTGGGCCTTAGCCTCTGAGCATCAGCCGCCAGCACTGAAGTTTGGTGTCTGGGCACAGAGATCATCTAGACTGTGGATTGACCCCACCATTATCTCTGAGCCCATTTCCTGGCCCATTTCCTGGTGTGCTCACAACAGTGGACTGGCTGACAGTCCTGCTATGTCGACAGACCTATGGAAAGGGACTGCCCTGGAAGCCCCAACAGAAGTGGATCACCAGCTTGTCTCCTGCTGGAGTGGCCGGTTCTGGGCACCTGACTGGGGGCTGGTTAAGACGTGGAAGTCTGTCTGAGAGGAAGCTGAAGGTAGAACAGAGGCCCTGGCACTTGGGCGTGGTCCTGCCTTTTTTCATAGTGGCTGCTTGAGTTCTGGGAGCAGTCCTTCCTCACCACCTTCAACTTCGGCTGTTATTCTTGCACTCTGACACCCACAATACAATGAGTGTTCCTGTACTAAAGCTCACCAGAGCCAAAAACCATTAGCAAAGTAAATCTGCTGGGGGAAAAAATATCCAGCATTCCAGAAAGATTAGCACATGCAGTCTCCAGTGTACGAGGGAGTTGCGCTCCAAAAGATAGTTTCAAAAGTTGGGACTTAGAGCATGTTTTCTCCCAGAAACAAGGTTATATATGGTGGTTGGATACAGAGGTCAGTTGGCCACGCTGGCTACCCAATAAAGCACTTGAAGTACAGCCTTGCCTGTCTCCCTGACCTGAGTGCCCCACCCACCCCTGCCCATCAGTTCGTTCTCTACATTGAGGCCGTATTTTTGGTAAAATACAACTCTGACCGTGTCCCCTCCTGTGGAGAGTTTTTAAGAATTCGTTCTCTAGGCAAGGCCAGGTGGCTCACACCTGTAATCCCAGCACTTTGGGAGGCTGAGGCGGGCGGATCACGAGGTCAGGAGTTCAAGACCAGCCTGGCCAACATGGTGAAACCGTGTCTCTACTGAAAGTATAAAAATTAGGCGGGCATGGTGGTATGTGCCAGTAATCCCAGCTACTCAGGAGGCTGAGTCAGGAGAATCACTTGAACCCTGGAGGTGGAGGTTGCAGTGAGCTGAGATTATACCATGTTACTCCTGCTTGGGTGACAGAGCAAGACCCCCATCTCGGGGGAAAAAGAAAAAAAGAATTGGTTCTCCTCACTCAGGGTAAAGCCCAAACTTCTCAACAGGGTTGGTCCTCTTTGTGTTGACTCTGGTTGTCTCTCCAGCCTCATGGATGCTACTCCTAAAGACGATGCTGCAGTCATCCTGCACTATCGGCAACCTACCAGCCCTCAGCTCCCCACAAACTAGCCATGTGATCCAGGAGCATTCCCAAACCCTGCAAGGCTGCTCCTGCCTACCCTACCCCAGCCTGGCTGCCCAAGCTCCCTGGAGCAGGTACCAGGTCATAAGTGCAGCTGTATCTCCAATGTCCAGCAAACAGCTTGCACCAGTCAGTCCAAAACTTCGTGAATGGATGACCCTTTCCTCCACATGCAGAAATATTTCTATGGGGAAGAGGATGCATCCCAAGACTGGGCCACAGTACAACGCAGTGGGATTGGCAAGGATGGCTCCAGGAGTGTCCTAGGTGAAGCAGCCAGAGAAGGGAAAAGATGGGACCCCCAACCTTGAGCCCAGGTGAAGTGAGGGAACTGGGGCCCAGCTGTAACTGATTTTCTGCAAATAAGCGTGATCTAAAGCTGACCTCTTGGACTCTTCCCCAAGGGCATGTCTGTGGTCTTGCCTCATACACTGGACTTGGTCCAGAGCTCCCCAGGCCCAGCACTCGGAGGATGTGGCTGAATGCCCATTTCCACTCTCCTAGCACTGCTTCCGGGTTCCCTAGTCCTTTCCCCACATGGTTACCTGGGGTCAAAGTTGGCAATGGTCCGCAGGGAGTGGGGGTTGGCAAGCACTTGTTCCAGATGTGCCTGAAGCTTCTGGAAGTGTGGCCGGCGGGCACGGTCATATGCCCAGCAGTTCTTCATGAGCTCATACAGAGGGGCAGGGCAGTCCACAGGAGGGGGCAACCGGTACCCATCCTCAATGCTCTTCATAACCTGCACGGCAGGACAGGAGGATGCTCTAGAGTAGCAAGCTAACCTGGAGGCCCATGAGAAACCAAGGGTCATACAAGATAATTGCAGTGGAGATTTTAGGCAGGATGGGAGGAGGTGGGAGGGCCAAGATGGGAGGATCACAGTGGGAGGATCAGGGTGGGAGGAGTAAAGAGAACAGGGCATGAGGTAAAGGACCAGAGGAGCCAGGAGTACAGAAAAACCAAGGGTCATCAATAAATAAAGACATTTGCAGGAAAAGGCCATGGGAGGACCTTGGGAGGGAATAAGAGGTGTGAGTTGGAGATGAGATGAGGAAGAATATTCTGGGCTCACCTCCTGATTGCTCATCTCCCCATAAGGCTTGTCCCCAAAGCTCAGCACCTCCCACATCACAATCCCAAAGCTCCACACATCGCTGGCCGTGGTGAAGATCCTATGGGCAATGGCTTCGGGGGCTGTCCAACGGATAGGGATCTTTCCTCCCTAAGAAGGCACATGGGTCAGGGACGGAAAGTTATAGTGTCCACCTGAGCACGAGTCTTTTGCTTATTTTATTTTATTTTTATTTTTATTTTTGAGATGGAGTCTCCCTCTGTTGCTAGGCTGCTGTGCAGTGGTGTGATCTCGGCTCACTGCAACCTCCATCTCCTGGGTTCAAGTGATTCTCCGGCCTCAGCCTCCCGAGTAGCTGGAACTACAGGTGTGTGCCACCACGCCTGGCTAATTTTTTGTATTTTTAGTAGAGACGGAGTTTCACCATGTTGGCCAGGCTGGTCTCGATCTCCTGACCTCGTGATCCACCCACCTCATCCTTCCAAAGTGCTGGGATTACAGGTGTGAGCCACTGCGCCTGGCTGAGTCTTTATGCAGGTGACTGTGTGAATGGCATGTTATGGGACAATGTGAGTGTGCATTGGGTTTGTACCGGGCTCTCACCTGAGTTTCATATGTGCCATCAAAGTCATCCAGGAGGCGAGTCAGGCCAAAGTCAGACACCTTGCAGCACAGGTCTTGATTCACCAAGATGTTCCTGGCAGCCAGGTCCCGGTGGACATAATTGTGATTACTGAGGTAGTTCATGCCAGATGCTATGCCCTGCAGCATGGCCACTAGCTGCCCAGGGACCAGCTGGTCCTCCTGCTCCTGTAGCAGGGTGAGCGGGTGAGTCGGGATGGGCCGGGTCTCCTCCCAGTGCCCAGGGCACCATGGTGTATCCCCCTCCCCAGCTAGTCCTCTGCCCTCCTCACCCTCAGGAAAGCATCCAAGGCTCCATTCTCCATAAATTCTGTGATGATCATGATCGGCTTTCCTGAGACACAGACACACGTATCACACTCAGAAGCAGGCTTCCTGCCCCTGGCCGCACATCCTCCCTCCACTTCCAGTGGTTTCGCCCCTCCTTCCTGCATTTCCCGCCCCCAGCTGAGGGAGAGCGCTCCTCATACTCTTTGTGACGACGCCTTCCAGATGCAGAATGTGCGGGTGGCTAAACTGGCCCATGATAGTTGCCTCTCGAAGGAAGTTCCACCACTGGCCACCTGGGGATGTGTCTTTTAAGGTCTTAATGGCCACAGTCTTGCAGTCCTGGCTGGGGAGCCTCAGGGTCCCTCGATAGACTTCCCCAAACTCCCCTGGGTAGAAAGAAAATAGGCTGTGGCCCGATGCACTGCAGGGCTCCTCCAGGGGACAGGCAGCAACTCCTCCAGTCCTCCAGCCCTTTTCTTTTCTGGAGAATCAGAAGCATGGAGTGCCCTTCCCGGGACAGGGCGTGGGCTGTCCTTCCTGGGGAAGGTCAGAGTCTGGAGCTGGAGTGCGATGCTGTGACCTGTTCGCCACTGTCTCCCAGTGTTTGCACAGTTCTTGGCTCACAATAGGTGCTTGGTAACCAAAGGATGAATGAACCCTGTGGAGCGGGACTAGGCCGTGCTCATGAAGAGCAAGCTAGTCTGGGGCTAGTACCCAAGTAGCAGGGACGCTGGCTATGGCCGCCTCTCTTCTGTGAGCTCCTCTGGTCCCAGCTTGCCTGGCTCAGCTGCACAATTGGCAAGGACACCACCAAGCTTTGTTCTCCACTGAGACCCATTTCCTCTGGTGACCCAAGGGATCAGGGCAGCCCAAGGACACTGGGCCTCTGATGGGGTGGAATGCCAGGCTAGGGAGGGAATGGCTCCTACATTTGGGCATTATCAGAGAACATCCGGGCCCTCAGCACAGCAACACTTCTGTGGATGAAAACAATGTGTTCAATGCCCTTTATCAGAAACTCCAAAACCACAGAAGCAAGTGTGTAGGAGACAGGGGTTGCTCCAGGGCACCTGATGAGGGGTTTTTAACAAGAACACAATGGTTCAAAGAGGATACAGAGCAGAGCAGAGAGTGAGTCCATCCGGTAACTCTTGGACCAGAGAAGCCAGCTGGGCTCCCCAGAGAAGCGCTGGAAGGAAGGGGCCTGCTGGTGGCTCTGTGCTGCCCCACAGGGGGGTCCTGCTGCGGTGCACAGCGGGACTCACCTTCTCCTATGACAGTGTCCACCATCAGCCACGCTGGATCGAGCTCCCGGGTAAAGTCCAAGGCTCCCTGTGCAGGGTCCTCGTATGCCTGGAGGTCCACATAGGGCTTCAGCCACAGCTTGTCCTCTATGGGCAGAACAGGGGGTTGGGGAGTACCAACATCAGGGCTCAGGAGTATGGGGGTCAGGAGAAGGCCCAGCAGCGGACCATACACTTCTCCACACCTCCCTGTTTCCCAAGGTGACTCCTGTTTGGGCTGAGGTGGGAGAAAGTCTCCATTTAGCAACTAAGCCTTTCTTCTCCCTGTCTATGCTCCAAGCTCCGCTGTCCTCACTCCACAAGGTCCAGGGTGGTGGCCAGGATCCAAACCCAAAGAGCATATTTGCTGCCTGAGTTGCCCAATCTTCTCAGCGGCCAGTCCCCACACCACTCCGGTCAGTCGCACCTCGTTCACATTCCCAGACAGAGCCGTGCCTGGCTCCCACCCCGGTTGCCCAGATGGACCACTCACTCTCCCCTTTGTGGGTCACCTAATGAGGTGACAAGCAGGAAGCTCATAAGCCTCTGAGGACATCAATCCTCCTCCTGCCTGGCCTCGGCCCACAGGCCTGGCCTCCAGGATGCGGAGGGCTGTCCAGAGCCCAAGGTGACAAGACAGCGGCACCAGCAGCGAACGGACACTAACAGATAATTGCATCAGAGCCACTGGGGGCCATCAGTACAAAGTTAATTAACCAAAGTTAATTAGGTAGCAAAACACAAGAGCTCTGGGGACAACAAACCCCACATGTCCCCCCAGAGTTGGCCTACCAACTATGTCCCTTGATCCCTTCCCAGTGGCACCTCCCAACACACACACACGGACACACACACACAGGTGTGCACATGCATGTGGGGACATACGCAGGTGCACCCGGCTCACCTCGATCCACATCGGTGGCGCGGTCACGCTGCCTCTGCTGCCTCTGCCGCTGGGCTCTCCTGCGGGGGTTGGGGACCAGCTCCTTCAGGGCCCCAAGACCACCTCAGGGGTCCGAGGGACTCTGGCTGAATCTTCCCCAGAAATGGGGAGGGAGTGCAGGATGGGTGTGAGGACTCACTGAGCTTTGGTACTAGGGGATGGGAGGGTCATTGGGGCTGCAGTCAAGGGCTTCTGACCCAGGGTTGGTGGTTGGGGAGGGGGCAGGAGCTGGCACCTGGACCGGAAAACGAGAATCCCCAGCAGCAAGGCTGCACCAAGCAGCAGCCCAAAGATGACAGCTACGATCTCTCCTCCAGACAGGCCCCTGGACACTGGAGGCACAAAGGGGTGAGGAAGTGTTGGGACTCACAGTCCGTAGAAATGACGGGGGTTAAAGGACAGGGCCCTGGGTACACCTAGGGGTCAGATCTTTCAGTGTGCATCAGATCAGTGTCTGTCCCCTACCCCCAGAAGAAGGGAAAGTGTGTGCATGTGTGTAGAGGAAGAGGAAGGGTCGCTATGTGGAACAGGAGCTGAGTTGCCTCAGTGGGGCAACAGGTGTATGTGTGTTGGGGCAGAACACAAGATACCTCACCTGGTGGGCTGGTCCGAAACTCATGATCAGGGGAGAAAGGGCCAGGACCCAGTGGGGTCAGCATTCGGACTCTGACGATGTATGTGGTGTCGGGCTGCAGCTCTGTCAGCAAGACCCTGGGTTCTAGAACCATTTGGTACCGTTCTTCATCCTGTGGGTTGGAGGTGCATTAAGCGGGCAGTGTTGAACCTGACCTGGGTGGATGTGATGGACAGCATCAGAGCACATAGGGAGGGGCTGGAGAGCAGAATGGTTACGACAGGGTTCTTCACAGCCTTTTGTCCTGAGAAAGCCACACAGTGGACTTCGGGTGGATTCCTCCCACCCCACATCCCAGGCTAGGAATGTTGGGGTGTGCCGGGCACGGATACTGAAGACTGTCTCTCAGTAGTATCCTGACCTGGTTCAGCACGTGCAGCTCATAGCTCAGGTTCCCCCCAGGGCTTCGGGGCCGGGACCCCGCCCAGGTCAGCTCAAGTTGCCTCGGTTCTTTCTTCACCAGTCTCAGAGACAGGCCCGACAGTGGCTCTGGGGGTCCGGAGGGATAAGGTTGGATATGTAAGGAAAAAGGAAATAACCTTAGTTCTTGCCCACCAATTTGTCCCTGTGGTCTTGAGCCCTTGTTAAGCCAGGTCCCTGTCCCAGCCCCTCTCAGCCTCTCACCTGCATGCCCCATGCTGATGCTGACTGAGGTGCTGGCATGGCCAGAGCTCCCCAGCCCTGACACTCCATTTTGGGCTTCCACGTTAAAGGTGTAGTTGGCGTAAGGTTCAAGGCCACTGACATGCACTGCAGATGTGGTGAGCCCCCGGGCCCCTGGCGAGAAGTGCACGCCTACCCCACAGGGCTGGCAGGGCCCCCCGTCCTGCGCTGTGCCCTGACACTGGGAACACCTCACACTGTATCTGACATCCTGGCGTCCCCCCATATCTGCTGGGGGTTCCCAACGCAGGGAGAGCTGAGTCCCTGATGCCGAGGAGCTCAGGTTTTGGGGGGCTGAGGGGGGACCTGTGGGAGAAGAGGAGCCATCAGTAGAAGCCAACCGCGCTGTCACCCGAGCTGCTGATCCCCGGCCTCCACCACCAGCCAATCCTCGATGTCCTCTGAAGTCCTCCTAGGGAGATTTGATTTCTACTGGGTTTGACTACATCTTTGCATTCTTCTAGGGAGAGCAGGGTGCCAGGGCAGGGGCTAAAAGTGCCTGACACCCTGGACCATCTCCAATATCTGACAAACTCTGAAAAATCCAACCCTGACAAAATCTCAGCAAAGATCCAGCCCCTCCCTCCAGATGGTCACGCCCCACCCCCTGGACTCACGTGTGCATGCCACCTGGGGGCCCTCCCCGGGAGCTCTGTAATGGCCGCTCTCACAGGTACAGATGGTGGCCCCCTCAGACTCAGCTGTGCTGTGCTGGGGGCACGTGAGACAATGGGGTGTGTCCATGTCCGTCCGGTAGGAGCCGCTAGGGCAGGCTGGAGAGAGAACGCAGCAGAGCAGTGGTTCTGTAAATGTTTTTACAGGCAGAACCACCACCACCCCTTCCTGCCCCAATCCCTTCTACTGGAAACATCTCTGCATGTGTGTGTCTGCTGCTCTGGGACACTCAGGTTAAAAACCCACTGAGGCAGAGCTCTGGCCTCCTTCTCTGCCGGGGTACTCCTGCAATCCTCCCGAGTGGTTCCTCAGGTTCTCACCACCTCCATTCTTACCAACACATCCCTTGCCACTGCCACCTTCCTCATAGCCAGGCTCACAGTGGCACCGTCCTACAGGCACCAGCCACTCGCCATCAGGGCTGCAGTGCATGCGGGGTGCACCTGAGGGCCTGGGGCTGGCCTGCGCGTGGGGCAAGCAAGTCCCTGCCACTTCCACCAACCCAGCGGGGCCAGGCAGAGTGTCAGGGAACTGGGCCAAGCCATTCAGGGTCTCAGGACAGCGCTGGTAGAAGACCCGGACAGACACCAGGGCCACACAGGCACCTGGGTTGTGGAAAGCGAGGTAGAGGCCACGGCGGGTCAGGTGGCCCAGGGAGCAGCGCTCCACATTCAGCTTCATGGAGCCAGATGCGAGGTCTCGAATGGTGAAGCTCTGGTCTGCAGCCACCGTGGTTACCTGGGTAGAGGGTGGGGAAGAAAGGGGAACAATGGCAAAGTCCTGCTTCTTTCCCCCATAACAGAAACAATTGTTTGCTTAATACTTTACACAACCATGAACAATGAGCTTTGTATGTGTGAGGTGCCAGGCTAAGCATTTATGTGCATTATGCTATTTAGCTCACGCAATCCTCTTATGAGGCAGGATGGCTTATTGTCTCTATTTAATAGATGAGGAAACCAAGGCTAATAGAAGTTAAAGACCTTGTATAAGATCACACAGTGACCACATCATGGGGCTAGGACTGGAATCCAGGCACTGGGACTCTACAGTCCGTAAAATTTCTACTATTCAGAAGCATTCCCTAAACCCAGTGCCAATAACATGATCAGTTATAGAGCATGTCATTATCAATTTCTTACTAGTAACAAATTTTACAACATTTTCTCTTTGGAAAGAAACAAGAGCACATCATATCATACAATGCTCCTTCCTCTTCTGCATCCCAGGATGTTTTTTTGAGTAGGAAAGAAAGAGATGTGTTAGAGAGTACTAGCCTGCAGGGAATTGTCTTGCTACGTGACTCCAGTGATACTAAGGGAGTAGGTTGCTTACGAACATCACGGGTATCGATAGGAAAAGTCTGAATAACTCTGTGCTACACTTCCCCCCTCCACCATGGCATCCTTTGATCTCAGTGGATGCTTATAAAAGCCTATAAAATAGATATAGCTGGCCCTATTATTGTCACTATTTTATGACTAGGCAACAAAAGCTGGAGAGGTTAAATGACATCCCCGAAGTCAGGGCACAGCAGAAAAGGTACTCAAATCCAGCCCTTCTGATTTCCAATGCCACATTGTTCTTTTTTTCTTTAGAGACAGGATCTTGCTCTGTTGCCCAGGCTGGAGTGCAGTGGCGCAGTCACAGATCACTGCAGCCTCAAACTCCTGGGTTCAAGTGATCCTCCTGCCTCAGTCTTCTGAGTAGCTGGGACTACAGGTATGGACCACCATGCCCAGGTGATTTTTAATTTTTTGCAGAGATGAAGTTTTGCCATGCTGCCCAGGCTGGTCTCAAGCTCCTGGCCTCAAGTGATCTTCCCACATCGGTTTCCCAAAGCACTGGAATTACAGGCACAAGCCACCATGCCCAGGCCTCAAGTGCCAAATGCTTTTCATGATTCTACCTGTGCACCCTCTTCCTGTCTCTGCAACCTTCTCTGGCACCCAGTAAGGAGCCAGGTAGGGATCTGCACCAGGACCCAGATGGCATGGAGGGAAGCAGCACCTTCTGGAACAAGGGCCGTCGGAGCTGAATGCCCACATCCTGGTCACTTTCCATGTACAGAAGGTTGAAGGTCTCCTTGCAGCCCAGAGGCCCGGCTCCCCCAGGGAAACTCTTGCAGTCCCGCAAGGTGAACTGCAGCTCCACGTGGACCCGGGAAGCCTCCTCCCCGCGGTAGATCCAGTTGGAGCGAAGCCAGTGGTCAGTGTCTCTGCGTCCTTGCACTGGGCAGTCCTGGTACATGTACAGGGGTGTTCCATTCAGTATCTGCTGCCGTTCACTCCACTGCAGGGAGGGAATCAGAGTCAGGGACCAGATCATCGCCTGCTCCCCAAACCCTTGGTTTTTAGAGCTGATGGAGAAGCAGCTGTGTCAGAGCCCCTCAGGTTTATGCTACTTGTCTTGCCTCTCCCCACCCCTCAGTTCTGGGACAGTAGACTGAGTGTTTAGGGTTGGGGATTTATTTGATTATAAGATGAGTAAGACAATAGTCCCTTAACATCCCCAGTTGATCCTGGTCCCTTCAGTTAGTCTGGTCCCTTATTTCATCAGCAGAGCTGTCAGGTACCCCCAAGGCAAAGCTCATTTACAAAACCCTTCTGTTTGTTCAAGAGGATATTGATGAATTTTTTTGTTTTTCAGAGACAGGGTCTCGTTCTGTTGGCCACACAGTGGTATAATCAAAGCTCACTATAGCGTCAGACTCCTGGGCTCAGTCTCTCAAGCAGCTGGGACTATAGGTGCCTGCCAACACACTGGGCTACCTTTTTTTTTTTTTTTTAAGTAGAGATGAGGTCTTACTATGTTGTCCAGGCTGATCTCAAACACCAGGACTCAGATGATCCTCCTGCTTGGCCTCCCAAAGTGTGTGAGCTACCACACACAGGCCAAGATTTATTTTTAATTATTAAAACCCCTTAGATTTGGAGGGTAAGAACAAGCACAGAACTGTATAGGAGATTCTCACCTTCTCCAATATTTCAATTATAGCCATCATCAAAATCAACAATTGACAGATTTGGCTGGACTTCTTGATACTATCTAGTTTACTCCCCTTAACTTTTTGTTTGTTTGTTTGAGGCAAAGGTCTCGCTCTGTCGCCCAGGCTGGAGTGCAGTGGCACAATCTTGGCTCACTGTAACTTCCGCCACTCAGGTTCAAGCGATTCTCCCACCTCAGGCTCCTGAGTAGTTGGGATTACAGGCATGCACCACCACACCCAGCTAATTTTTTGTATTTTTAGTAGAGACAAGGTTTTGCCATGTTGGCCAGGCTGTTAGCTTCTTCTATCTGAAAAGAACTTTTAAACTTAGTAATATTAATGGCTAGCAGTAACATAGTGCTTACTGTGGCCCAGTCACCAGTTTAAACACTTTCCATGAGGAAACTGAGGCACAGGGAGGTCGAGTGACTTGCCAAGGTACTCAGCTAGGAGAGGCAGAGCTGGAAAATGAGCCAGGCATTCTGGGCTCCAGAATTCATGCTCTTAATCATTATACCTCTGTGTGCTTATTGTGAAAAGTCAAAAAGTAAAGACACAGAATAAAGTTTAATTCCCTCACCCTCATCCTTCCACTCTCATTCTCAGAGGAAGCCACTCTCAACAATTTTTAGCAAAACTTTGCAGACCATTTTCAATGCCTCCAGAGAACTGCTTGAATGTTTCTGAGTTTTGCTTTCAACACGGGATCATACAAGTGTTATTTTGTAACCTACTTTCTGTTTTCACAAATAATAAGTATTTGAGGGCCGGAAGTGGTGGCTCATGCCTGTAATCCTAGCACTTTGGGAGGCTGAGGCAGGCAGATTCCCTGAGGTCAGGAGTTCAAGACCAGCCTGGCCAACAGGGTGAAACCCCCCGTCTCTACCAAAAATATAAAAAAATTACCTGGGTATGGTGGCACCTGACTGTAATCCCAGTTACTTGGGAGGCTGAGGCAGGAGAATCGCTTGAACCCAGGAGGCGGAGGTTGCAGTGAGCCAAGATCTTGCCACTGTACTCCAGCATGGGCGACAAAGCGAGACTACCTCTCAAAAAAGTCTTTGAAAGATAGCCACAAAAGTGTATATAGAGCTGTCTTACTTTTTTTTTTTCTTTAGCAAATCATAAGTAATACTCCATTGTAGAGAAGGCCATAATTTATTTAGTCATTCACCTATTGTTGGACATTTAGACATCTTCTAGTTTTTTTTTTCTTTTTAAAGAAATCATGTACAGATTGCTGTAAGATTTCCATGGAACTGCCATATCAAAGGGTAGACATACTACAAGTTTTACAAGATACTGTCAAATTGTCTTCCAAAAAAAGTTTATCAGTTTACACTTCCACCAGCAACACAAGAGGGTTCATTTTCTCAAAACTTCATCAACATAGAATATTAATAACCTTTTTGCTTTCTGCCAATCCTAGGGTCAAAACACAGCTTCTTAGCATTTTAATTTACATTTCTTAGAGGAGGAAGTTGTATATTTCTCTTCTGTTCATTGGCTATTGGCATGTTTATGCAATTATCTGTCTCTAACCTTTGCATGACATTCTATTGTCTTTTGATTATTCATTTGGATGAGTTTTTTTAAACATATTATAGACATGAATCATTTCCTTCAAATGTATGTTGTTAATATTTTCTCCCAGTCTGCCATACCAGTTAGCTTTGCTAATGATGTTTTGATGTGGACATACATTCTAAATTTCTTCCATAATCACATCTACAGTATTTCCCTTCATGATTGCCGGGTTGTATATTTTACTTGGGAAGTTTTCCTACCTCAAGATTATCATGATCTATGTTTTCTCCTAAAATTTGTGTAGGTTGCCTTTTAGGTTTAGATTTTAGCTTTCTTAGAATGAATTTTGTGTATAATGGAGAGATATATCTTTATATTTTTACTAAAAATGATGCATATTTATCTATCAGTTTATTAACTAGTTGTTACTTTCCATATTGATTTGCAATTCCAATGCTATCACATACTAAAATCTCATATATGTCGGCTTGTTTTTGGACTTTCTATTCTGTCCCTGAGTGACCTTGTGCAAGCCATATGTTTTAGTTATAGCTGATGGTTCTGATATCTGCTTGTCAGAGACAAGTCTCCCATTTCATTCTTCAAAAACTCTTCTCAACCATTCTTAAGTATTTCCTCTGTCAGATGAATTTTCAAAAGCTCTCAAATTCTATATTCTATTTATATTTTTGTTGCAACCCCATAATTTAATGCAGAATAGACTGAGGCCCTTAGAAAGTTCACTTTCCCCAGGTTTTTACTCCATTGTAATACAGGGGCCCTCATCGCTACCCTCAGCTCTGGGAAAAGGCAAAAAAAATCACTAATCAAAAATTTGGGGTGAGGTGGGGCAGAAACAGAAGCTGATATGAGGCACATATTTCTGCATTATGTTAGGGTGTTCAAAGATTAGGCAAGGGGTATCTAAAAGGCAAGGAAGCTGGAATGAGAAAGGCACCAAGAGTCTGCTCCTAAGAAAGACTGTGCTGGGACAGCCCAAGTGGAAGGCACTGCGGGGGTCAGGTGGACAGGGTGGCGGGTGGTTAATGTGCAGCTCATTAGCCAGATTGCCGCGGCTGCAGCCAGAGCCAGGAGAAGCAGATGTTCCCAGCTGTGACTTCCCTCTCCCAGTTCCAGCAGTGACAGATGGGCGAGAGCCAGCTGTCCAGGGTCAGCAGTAAGGATCCTTTTGCTTATCACTCAGGCGCTGCTGGCTGCCACATGGGTGCATTCTGGACCTGAACGCCTGCATGCGTGTGTGTGTGTGTGTGTGTGTGTGTGTGTGTGTGTTTTGAAAAGATGGGGAGAAGGAGGGGGACAAGGTAGATAGTGGGAATGTGTGACTCCTGGCTGTCTCCTTGCCCTCTCAGCATGCAGGACTGTTTTGTCTGAGCTGAGAAAGGGGCCTTGCTGCCATTCCAGTCAAATTAGGGAAGAGTTATTTGGGTGGAGGTGTCAACGGCCCAAGGAAGGCCCATGGGAGCCCGCAGATGGACCTGCAGCTATCACTGTGGGTGATTAGCTGGTTTATGAGGTAAGTCACCTAATAGGGCTGGATCTTCCAAACGGCCCCTCCTGGAGGATCCACTATGGTTTAGTCTATTAGCTCTAATTACAGGCTACTCTGTGGGAGAACAGAGAACAGAGAATGGAGCCAGGACTGTAGGACCCAGAGGGAAAGAAAGCAAGTAACCCTGACCCCAGAAACAGAGGCTGGATTGAAGTCTCAAGTACTGGGGTAAGGAAGGAAACCCTGAGAGAAGGGGTTCCAGAGCCAGAGTTGTAGATGCTCCAGTAACGTAGGCAGCCCCCTGTGGCTCTGTGGCCAGCTGTGCTGCCGGCAGAAAGGGTGCTGTGAATTGTCAAATATATATTTGGTCTTTGTTCTCATTTCCTGGCAAACAACCCCTAAAACGCTCAAAATCCCCAAAGCGACAAATGTCTTTTTATATGCTAATGAGCTGACTGACGGGGATGGGAACTAGACTGGGGTCAGGGAGGCCTGAACCTTGTGATTGGAGTTGGGACTTTCAGCCCCACCCCCAGCTTGCAGGAAAGGTAGAGGCTGAAGGTTGAGCTGATAACCAATGGCCAATGATCTAATCAATCACGCCTATGTAATGAAGCCTCCATAAAAGCCCAGAGGGACACGGTTTGGAGGGCTTCTGGACAGCCAAACATGATTAGGTCGCTGCAGGGTGGCTCTCCTCCTTCACATATACCTTACCCCATGCAGCTATTCCATCTGGTGTTCACGGTATCATCTGTAATATCCGTTATCATAAGCCAGTAAATATAAGTCAATGTTTCCCTGAGTTCTGAGCCATCCTAGCAAACTAATTGAACCCGAGGACGGTGGTCAGGCAAACCTGATTACATCCGATGGAACAGAAGTATAGGTGACAACCTGTTACTTGTGATTGGTGTCTAGAGGGGGGCAGTTTTGTGGGGCTGAGCCCTCAACCTGAGGCTATCTCCAGGTAGATAGAGTAAGAACTGAATAAGATTAGAGGACACTCAGCTACTGTTCAGTGAAGAATCTGCCAGAGAGCTCACTGCAGGCAGGAGGAATCCCTCCATGCATTTTGGTGACCACAGGTCACCGAAGTGATCTGTGTTGAGAGTGCAGTAGGAAAAAATTAAGTTTGATTTTTCGTACATCATCAGAGGTGCTCTCTGCATTTGAGTCTGAATATGCTGTCTCAGACTCACCCCACAACCTGTTCACTGAGTCTTAGGACCATCCAAGGAAGGAAGGGAATTGGAACAAGCTCTGACACTTTCAAACAGCTGGAATGCTTGGTGTGCATGGAGCCAGCCTGAGGAGGTGTGGAGGATGAGCTAAGGGCTCAGAAACATTTAGGGGAGCAGCTTTTAACTTTGGAGGAGTCAAAGACCCTTTGAAGAATCTGATGAAAGTTTTGGCTGGCCTCTCTAGGGAAAAAAAAAAATGCCCCCTTACATATACAGAATTTACAGTACACTTTCATGGAGTTTCCCCAGCCCCTGAAACTTATCAATGCGACTTCATTGGGATGAATGGATCTCAGATTGAGGATGCTTTTCTGCCTTTTCTGTCCCTCCCCAAGCAAAGCACTGGTCTCAGTCTTCAACTGTCCCCAGCATGGTGCATTCTCTCCCTGGGTATGTGAGCTCCTCTCCCCCTCACAAGTATCAACTTGTATTCACAATATTCCGAAGTATTCACTGGAGGAGCCAGGCCATTCAAGCGTTCATCTTGAGGTGAATTCTGACCCCCCCACCCCTTGTCCCATTCAGGAGGCTCTGACTCAGCCTCCTCTCCCCCTCCCTGAGGAGACACTTCCAGTTTTTCCTGCTCTTTTCTCTGTTCCTCCACCCACCTCTCCACCCCATTTCCCACTGGCCTTCAGGAGTCTTCCAAGATCCTTCCCTCCCCTGACACTTACCCCATCTTTTGGGGGATCCAGCAGCCAGCCCAGCTCTCCCTGTGCCTTGCTTGTGTCCATCAGAGTAACTGAAAGTGGGGAGAAAAGAAGTCTGTCACCTCTGGGGGAGGAGGTGCCCCTGTAGCTCACATTCCTCATTCTGGGGCCCCAGCCCCAGGCTGCAACATCCTGTTCCTAAAAGCTGTGACTTCCTGAGGCTTAGGGGAGAAAAAGGGCTCAGGACTGAGGAGTGAAGAGCTCCAGGGATTTCACTCTTTCTGTGTGTGAAGGAAGGAAGGCAGAGTGGGACAAGGTTTGGAGCGCTGGTTCTTCCACCAAAGTCAATGCAATAAGAGCAGACCCACAAAACTCTCAGTTACCCGGGCTGCTGCGGCCTGGGGCACCCATCAGCTGCAGGATTGGAGCGGGTGGAGGGCAGGAGGAGCTCACCTATCCTAGCCAGGAGTGGGCAGGGTGGACCGGGGACCTCGGAAGTGGTTTCGTGGGTAGGGAGGCTCACCACCAGTGTCCGAAGCCTGCTTTGGCCTGACCTGGCCAGTGATCAGAACCGTGAAGTGGGGATAAGAGGCACAGCTCGCTGCCTGGGAAGTGGTGGGGAGTAGGGCCAGACAGGGTGTTCCAGCTTTCACATGGAATATTCGCCTCGGACAACTGGGAACCCCTGTGGCGTCAGTCCTAACCCTTCCCCCGGAGGCGGGTCCCTCTGTCCCTGGCCTAGGTTGGCAGGAGGCGACTTGCCACCTTCAACTTCCAAGGGCTCAGATCTCTGGGGTGGACACCTGAAGCTGGGACTATCTGGGAATGCAGGCAGCGGTGCGGGTGCAGGTGCTGCTTCCTAGCAAGGGTCAGGAACTCCCTCCTCACTCCCGGGCGCCGATGGCTGGCCTGTGGGAGTTGGGGTGACTGACCCGGGAGAGCAGCCGCTTGGGGTTAAAGACCAAAGATGGGCCTGGCCAGTCGACAGCCCGGCGGTCGGGCACAGCGAGAGAGCTGGCGAGGGTCTCGGGGAACAGGGCCTTCTGAGGAACGCCGGCTTCTGCAGGGGGGTGCTGGCCTGGCCCCGGGAGGGGGTGGGGGGGCGGGGGTGGGGGCGTGGGGGGGTGGCGGGGGCGGGGGCGCGAGGGCGGGGGTTGGTACCTTCCTTGGTGCGCGCCCCCGGAGGCAGCGGGGTGCAGAGCAGCAGCACCAGCCCGAGCCCCAGGGGCCAGCGCCGCTCCATGGCTCCGGGCCGGGACCTGGGACAGCGGCCCGGACGGCAGGGTCTGGTCGCAAGGGACTGGGGGAGCCGGGCGGGCCGGGCGGGGGCGGGGGGCGGGGCCAGTGCCGGGGGCGGAGTCCCGGCCTCACCTGGTTCACCTTCTTAAAGGGACAGCAGGGCAGGAAAGAAACTTGCTAGACCGGTAATCAAATTCAAGAACTGGAGGCGTCTTGACCCTAATGGGACTGCGGGCGCCGCCTAGTAGGTGGGATTAAGAATTGATGAACCTTTTCCCAATTCTAATCCTAAACTCAACCCAGTCTTGATCCAGCTTTTAACCTAATTCTACCTCTGACTTGAATTACACTCCTATATTCCTCTTTCTCTCTTTCCGCAGACCCCAGAGCTGGGTAATAGGACCGGAGAAGGCAGGGGTAAGAGTCACATCTTCACCCTCCAGCAGGGGAGGCTTAGATGACCACAGTGCAAGGTGGGGTACAGCCCGCAGTGAAGCATCTGGAGGTTAGAAGAGGAAGCAAGCCCAGTCGTCGGGGCACGTTAGTTGAGTCTTCAGGGAGAGCTGGTGTGACCTGGGTTTTCAGTGGCAGAGATTGGGAAAGGCACCAGCAAGGGCCTGAAGGCAGGGAGCCTCAAGGTGCGCCCAGGGAGTGGTGAATGGACCAGTTTGACTGCTGGGGCGCAGGATTTGTCTTGGGAATCAGGGCAGAAAGGCAGGTGCGGGCCAGGGCTGGGTAAACAAGAAAAGGAGTTTGAACCTTGCCATGCACTTCCACAGCAGACATGAATATCTGCTTAAGGTTCCAGCCACAGGTGGCAGGGAAGAATATTTTAACCCATCTTAGTGGTGTCAAGCCACTAAGAAGGTGCCCTCTAACCTCCTTGCAGACTTCCTTATATTCTTTTTCTTTTTTGAGATGGAATCTTGCTCTGTGGCCCAGGCTGGAGTGCAGTGGCACGATGTTGGCTCACTGCAATCTCCGCCTCCCGGGTTCAAACGATCCTCCTGCCTCAGCCTCCCGAGTAATTGGGATTACAAGCGTCAAGTGTGCACCACCACACCCAGCTAATTTGTCTATTTTTAGTAGAGAAGGGGTTTCACCATGTTGGCCAGGCTGGTCTCGAACTCCTGACCTCAAGTGATTCCTCCTGACCTCAAGTGATCTCCCTGCCTCTGCCTCCCAAAGTGTTGGAATTACAGGCCTGACTTACTGCGCTCTGCTGAGACTTCCTTATATTCTATTTAGTAAATATTTGTTCAGTTTCTACTATGCATGCAGTAAGCTCTAGAAGCACCTAAGAACAGAAGGACAATGTCTGCCCTATATAAGCTATTACTTTGGGGATGCTGGGGGTTGAGACATAAATAATTGCACAGATGATTGAAACGGCGGGCAGGAGTGGACCCCAGGCAAGGTACACACAGGAGCCATAGTGGCTCAAAGGGGAGTGATGCATTTACTAAAGAGGCTAGGAGTCCACTCCTGGCCCCTCCTTCTTTCACTCCTCCTTGGCTCCATCCCATTTGGGTAAATTGTTCATAATTTTTCTATCATTTACATTGTTGCACATTTCGGTACTGTGAATGAAGGGAGGTGGTGGATTATAGGTGCTTTTTCTCATTTCCAAAATTTAATGCTTCTCAGGTTTTTCTTTCTTTCTTTCTTATGCAGGTACGCATATGACAAACACAGCCCGTCAGTTCTTGGCTCAGACTATCCTTATTTGCATAAATAAATGTAATTCATGGGCATTGGTTAGGAAATTCATGTTGAACATACAGAAACAAAAAGGAAAGTAGAACCCTCTGCCCTCCAACCCTCTAATTTCTGTTCCCCAAGTTAACCACCATCAGCTGTTTCTTGTAAGTCCTCCTAGGATTCCTTCCTCACGTGTGTCAGGCCTCTGAGCCCAAGCCAAGCCATCGCATCCCCTGTGACATGCACGTATACGCCCAGATGGCCTGAAGTAACTGAAGAATCACAAAAGAAGTGAAAATGCCCTGCCCTGCCTTAACTGATGACATTCCACCACAAATGAAGTGAAAATGGCCAGTCCTTGCCTTAAGTGATGACATTACCTTGTGAAATTCCTTTTCCTGGCTCATCCTGGCTCAAAAAGCTCCCCCACTGAGCACCTTGTGACCCCCCACTCCTGCCCGCCAGAGAACAACCCCCTTTGACTGTAATTTTCCTTTACCTACCGAAATCCTATAAAACGGCCCCACCCTTATCTCCCTTTGCTGATTCTCTTTTCGGACTCAGCCCGCCTGCACCCAGGTGATTAAAAAGCTTTATTGCTCACACAAAGCCTGTTTGGTGGTCTCTTCACACGGACGCCCATGATACTGTGTACACACCATCGTGTTATTTTTCCCTCCCTCTCTCCCTCTACTCCCACACTTACATGCTTTTGAAATGTGTATACAGAGGGGCCATCTGATACACAGTGCTCTGCACCAGAGGCCTCTTTTCTAATGTTAAGGACTCCAGGAAGGAGGAGGAGGCTCACACTGGCTGGCGGGGGTCAGAGCTTTGTGATTTCAGCAGGGAGGAATGGGCGAAGGGTGCAAAGCCAACAGAAGGGGGGAAATGGAGCAAGCTTTGGACAATTGCTGCTAGGAAATAAGCCAGACTGTGGTGAGGTAATGCGTGTGCTTGCTGCTGCAGTTTGTTAAAGTTACAAGACCCTTGGGACTCCAGGGGGTGGGTGGGTGGGTGGAGTGGGGGAGACTGCTCCGTGCAGTGAGACGTGGAGTCTAGAGCCCTGGAAAAAAACGTCTTGCTTTTTGTTTTAGGATTGGCTCTTTAATTTCAGACTGGTCTGAAAGTCTCTGCATATGGGGAATGAATGTCCACTTTCTGTTTCCTTTCAGAATTATCTTGATTTGACATTTTCTGGTTGGTTTGTCATGAGAGGAGGCATACCTTCAAGTTTAGTATGTGTTCTTAACTAGCAGTACAACTTTTGTCAAATTATTTACGTTCTCTGGACCATGGTTTCAGTTTCCCTAGACCTGGATGATTTCTGAGGCTATATTCAGGGGTGGTCTCAGAAAATAAAAAGATAGCAGGATTTTGAGTCAGGAGACTTCGACCAGTTCCCTTAGCCATAATGTGCCTCAGTTTCCTTAGCTATGAGATGAGATTAATCATGTCCAGGCCACAGAGTCGGTGTAATGATCAAAAGAGGAGAAAGTACTTTATTAACTGTAAGGTACTGAGCAAACGTTAATTAGCTAGGAGAATGGTGGAGGCTGGGAATTGCTGGAGTTCTCCTGCAGGCCTCCCAGCTTGCTCCCAGAGCAGAACAACCTCAGTGATTAAGACATCATTATTTTTCCATTCCAAAATCAACTTTATTGAGGGAAAACTTGCATAAAATAAATTGCAGCCATTCCAAGTGTATGGTTTAATGGGCTCTCACAAATGTGGATGCACCACCACCTCAGTCAAGATGCAGAGCACTTTCATCATCTAAAAACATTCCCTGGTGCTCCTGTGAATCAATCCCAACTCCAGCCTTAGGATTTCTGTCCGTTTGGATAAGTTTTGTCCTTTCCAGAATTTTCTGCCGTCTCTGGACTCTGGGTCTTTCTCTTTAGCATGATGCTCCCAAGATCCATCCTTCTAAGATTCATCCTTCTACAATCCATCTTTCTTGTTGCCTCCATCAGCAGTTTCTCTTTTTCGATGCTGGGCAGTATTCCCTATAGAGATGCCCTAAGACATCATTTAACAGTACAAAATCAAACCCCAAAACTCCTGTGCTCTGATCCCCTAGGAACCATAGGCCTCGCAGCAGACGGGGCCTCCCAGAGGGACACCTCTTTCCCCTTCTGACGTCTGTCCCTGTTCTCATTCTGCAGTCAGAAAGGAAAGCCTGCAGAGTCCCTGCAGCCCAGGCTGTGGCTTGTTCTTGCAACCTTGACCTTAACATTACCCTGTTCATATTATTCCCTTTCGACTCCCTACCCAGCTCCTTTCTGACTGAGGATAAGGTGAAATTACACCCAGCCTAGGTCATGGTCTTGTATGTCCACAGGCTCTGGTTAAAATGCAACCAACATCACCAGCAGGGTAACCCAGTATGTTGCTAGCAGCTATTATGAGAGAATTAGTACAAATTAATTTCTTAGACTAGTATTGTCAGAGGCATATGAACCAGAGCAACTCCATCTTGTGTAGGGGCTGGTTGAAATGAGGCTGAGATCTACTGGGCTGCATTCCAAGACAGTTAAGGCATTCTAAGTCACAGGATGAGATAGGAGGTCGGCACAAGGTACAGGTCATAAAAAGCTTGCTGATAAAACAGGTTGCAGTAAAGAAATTGGCCAAAACCCACCAAAACCAAGATGGCCACAAGAGGGTCCTAGGGTCGTCTTCACTGCTATACTCCCCCCAGCACCAATGACAGTTTACAAATGCCATGGCAACTTGAGGAAGTTACCCTATATGGTCTAAAAAGGAGAGACATGAATAACCCACCCCTTGTTTAGCATATAATCAATAAATAATCATAAAAATGGGCAACCAGCAGCCCTCGGGGCTGCTCTGTCTGTGGAGTAGCCATTCTTTATTCCTTTACTTTCTTAATAAGCTTGCTTTTACTTTACTCTATGGACTCGCCCTGAATTCTTTCTTGTGTGAGATCCAATAACCCTCTCTTGGGATCTGGATCCAGACCCCTTTCCTGTAACAATATCAGGTCCCCTAACAAAGGCCTGCATGGATGGGACCCAACCGACTTTGGTTGACTGTGTTGGGCCAGCCCAAACTTGCAGGCAGCAAAATCCAGGAGACCTTGTGGGCTGTGGGAGGGAGGAAATGGCACTCACCAGTACAGCCTTCTGGTGGATTCTGCACATCTTTAATCATAAGCCTAGTTAGGTCCTTCCCTTTCCTTCTTGTCTGTGCTCTTACCTATCTGTTCTCTGATCCCGTTTACCACCAGGCAACAGGGGTGGGGATAATAACAGTTACCACTTATTACAG